ACGAGTGTGAGTATGTCCTCCGCCCCCCTGAGCACACTACCTCCCACGAGTGTGAGTGTGTCCTCCGCCCCCCTGAGCACACTACCTCCCACGAGTGTGAGTGTGTCCTCAGCCCCCCTGAGCACACTACCTCCCACGAGTGTGAGTGTGTCCTCAGCCCCCTGAGCACACTACCTCCCACGAGTGTGAGTGTGTCCTCAGCTCCCCTGAGCACACTACCTCCCGCGAGTGTGAGTGTGTCCTCAGCTCCCCTGAGCACACTTCCTCCCGCGAGTGTGAGTGTGTCCTCAGCCCCCCTGAGCACACTACCTCCCGCGAGTGTGAGTCTGTCCTCAGCCCCCCTGAGCACACTACCTCCCACGAGTGTGAGTGTGTCCTCAGCCCCCCTGAGCACACTACCTCCCGCGAGTGTGAGTCTGTCCTCAGCCCCCCTGAGCACACTACCTCCCACGAGTGTGAGTATGTCCTCAACCCCCTGAGCACACTTCCTCCCACGAGTGTGAGTGTGTCCTCAGCCCCCCTGAGCACACTTCCTCCCACGAGTGTGAGTGTGTCCTCAGCCCCCCTGAGCACACTTCCTCCCACGAGTGTGAGTGTGTCTGGTAACAACACAGGTGGCACACCTGGTCATGCCACACCTGGTCATGCCACACCTGGTCATGCCACACCTGGTCATGCCACACCCACCAGATTACACCACTGCCAGAGCGGAGCCACATTACTGTACTCACTGTAATGAGTGTATTAGCTCACTGTAATGTTCACCGTCTTTGTATGACGATTATTGCTCGGCTGGCTCTCTGGCTCTCTCTCTCTCTCTCTCTCTCTCTCTCTCTCTCTCTCTCTCTCTCTCTCTCTCTCTCTCTCTCTCTCTCTCTCTCTCTCCCTCCCCCTCTCTCTCTCTCTCTCCCTCCCCCCCCTCTCTCTCTCTCTCCCGTTTTCTCTTCTCCTTGACACAAACGTCTTGAGTGACAGGTAAGAGAGAGGGAGAGTGATGGAGAGTGAAGGCTTGACTCTCGACGATGGAGGAGACAGGTGGGGATCAATCTTTTATTGGCTGGAACAATGAATGGTTGGATTGGTTGGTTAAATTGAGAATAATGAACAGGTTAAGACGGGCAGGGAAGACTAGTGCGTGTCGTCTTGGTGGTATATATATATATATATATATATATATATATATATATATATATATATATATATATATATATATATATATATATATATATATATATATATATATATATATATATATATATATATATATAGGCGCCCCACATCATAACCACCGTGCATGTATTCCGAAATCATTCAATAACATTTAAAAATTTGGAAATTTTACGTCATTAGTATTCCATGTATCGCAAAGTCGTCAGTCAGACAGGTTATAACGAGGTCATCCACCAAGGACAGGGGATAACGAGGTCATCCACCAAGGACAGGGGATAACGAGGTCATCCACCAAGGACAGGGGATAACGAGGTCATCCACCAAGGACAGGGGATAACGAGGTCATCCACCAAGGACAGGGGATAACGAGGTCATCCACCAAGGACAGGAGATAACGAGGTCATCCACCAAGGACAGGGGATAACGAGGTCATCCACCAAGGACAGGAGATAACGAGGTCATCCACCAAGGACAGGAGATAACGAGGTCATCCACCAAGGACAGGGGATAACGAGGTCATCCACCAAGGACAGGAGATAACGAGGTCATCCACCAAGGACAGGGGATAACGAGGTCATCCACCAAGGACAGGGGATAACGAGGTCATCCACCAAGGACAGAGGATAACGAGGTCATCCACCAAGGACAGGGGATAACGAGGTCATCCACCAAGGACAGGGGATAACGAGGTCATCCACCAAGGACAGGGGATAACGAGGTCATCCACCAAGGACAGGGGATAACGAGGTCATCCACCAAGGACAGGGGATAACGAGGTCATCCACCAAGGACAGGGGATAACGAGGTCATCCACCAAGGACAGGGGATAACGAGGTCATCCACCAAGGACAGGGGATAACGAGGTCATCCACCAAGGACAGGGGATAACGAGGTCATCCACCAAGGACAGGGGATAACGAGGTCATCCACCAAGGACAGGGGATAACGAGGTCATCCACCAAGGACAGGGGATAACGAGGTCATCCACCAAGGACAGGGGATAACGAGGTCATCCACCAAGGACAGGGGATAACGAGGTCATCCACCAAGGACAGGGGATGACGAGGTCATCCACCAAGGACAGGAGATGACGAGGTCATCCATCAAGGACAGGGGATACCGAGGTCATCCACCAAGGACAGGAGATAACGAGGTCATCCACCAAGGACAGGAGATAACGAGGTCATCCACCAAGGACAGGGGATAACGAGGTCATCCACCAAGGACAGGGGATAACGAGGTCATCCACCAAGGACAGGGGATAACGAGGTCATCCATCAAGAACAGGGGATAACGAGGTCATCCACCAAGGACAGGGGATAACGAGGTCATCCACCAAGGACAGGGGATAACGAGGTCATCCACCAAGGACAGGGGATAACGAGGTCATCCACCAAGGACAGGAGATAACGAGGTCATCCACCAAGGACAGGGGATAACGAGGTCATCCACCAAGGACAGGAGATAACGAGGTCATCCACCAAGGACAGGGGAAAACGAGGTCATCCACCAAGGACAGGGGATAACGAGGTCATCCACCAAGGACAGGGGATAACGAGGTCATCCACCAAGGACAGGGGATAACGAGGTCATCCACCAAGGACAGGGGATAACGAGGTCATCCACCAAGGACAGGGGATAACGAGGTCATCCACCAAGGACAGGGGATAACGAGGTCATCCACCAAGGACAGGGGATAACGAGGTCATCCACCAAAGACAGGGGATAACGAGGTCATCCACCAAGGACAGGGGATAACGAGGTCATCCACCAAGGACAGGGGATAACGAGGTCATCCACCAAGGACAGGGGATAACGAGGTCATCCACCAAGGACAGGGGATAACGAGGTCATCCACCAAGGACAGGGGATAACGAGGTCATCCACCAAGGACAGGGGATAACGAGGTCATCCACCAAGGACAGGGGATAACGAGGTCATCCACCAAGGACAGGGGATAACGAGGTCATCCACCAAGGACAGGGGATAACGAGGTCATCCACCAAGGACAGGGGATAACGAGGTCATCCACCAAGGACAGGGGATAACGAGGTCATCCACCAAGGACAGGGGATGACGAGGTCATTCACCAAGGACAGGGGATGACGAGGTCATCCACCAAGGACAGGAGATGACGAGGTCATCCACCAAGGACAGGGGATAACGAGGTCATCCACCAAGGACAGGAGATAACGAGGTCATCCACCAAGGACAGGAGATAACGAGGTCATCCACCAAGGACAGGGGATAACGAGGTCATCCACCAAGGACAGGGGATAACGAGGTCATCCACCAAGGACAGGAGATAACGAGGTCATCCACCAAGGACAGGAGATAACGAGGTCATCCACCAAGGACAGGGGATAACGAGGTCATCCACCAAGGACAGGAGATAACGAGGTCATCCACCAAGGACAGGGGATAACGAGGTCATCCACCAAGGACAGGGGATAACGAGGTCATCCACCAAGGACAGGGGATAACGAGGTCATCCACCAAGGACAGGGGATAACGAGGTCATCCACCAAGGACAGGGGATAACGAGGTCATCCACCAAGGACAGGGGATAACGAGGTCATCCCCCAAAGACAGGGGATAACGAGGTCATCCACCAAGGACAGGGGATAACGAGGTCATCCACCAAGGACAGGGGATAACGAGGTCATCCACCAAGGACAGGGGATAACGAGGTCATCCACCAAGGACAGGAGATAACGAGGTCATCAACCAAGGACAGGAGATAACGAGGTCATCCACCAAGGACAGGAGATAACGAAGTCATCCACCAAGGACAGGGGATAACGAGGTCATCCACCAAGGACAGGGGATAACGAGGTCATCCACCAAGGACAGGGGATAACGAGGTCATCCACCAAGGACAGGGGATAACGAGGTCATCCACCAAGGACAGGGGATAACGAGGTCATCCACCAAGGACAGGGGATAACGAGGTCATCCACCAAGGACAGGGGATAACGAGGTCATCAACCAAGGACAGGGGATAACGAGGTCATCCACCAAGGACAGGAGATAACGAGGTCATCCACCAAGGACAGGGGATAACGAGGTCATCAACCAAGGACAGGGGATAACGAGGTCATCCACCAAGGACAAGAGATAACGAGGTCATCCACCAAGGACAGGGGATAACGAGGTCATCCACCAAGGACAGGGGATAACGAGGTCATCCACCAAGGACAGGGGATAACGAGGTCATCCACCAAGGACAGGGGATAACGAGGTCATCCACCAAGGACAGGGGATAACGAGGTCATCCACCAAGGACAGGGGATAACGAGGTCATCCACCAAGGACAGGGGATAACGAAGTCATCCACCAAGGACAGGAGATAACGAGGTCATCAACCAAGGACAGGAGATAACGAGGTCATCCACCAAGGACAGGAGATAACGAAGTCATCCACCAAGGACAGGAGATAACGAGGTCATCCACCAAGGACAGGAGATAACGAAGTCATCCACCAAGGACAGGAGATAACGAGGTCATCCACCAAGGACAGGAGATAACGAAGTCATCCACCAAGGACAGGAGATAACGAGGTCATCCACCAAGGACAGGAGATAACGAAGTCATCCACCAAGGACAGGAGATAACGAGGTCATCCACCAAGGACAGGAGATAACGAAGTCATCCACCAAGGACAGGAGATAACGAGGTCATCCACCAAGGACAGGAGATAACGAGGTCATCCACCAAGGACAGGAGATAACGAGCACAAAGAGAGAGATAAAGACACTCTGGAGAGAAATACATTGTTGTGAGTTTCTATAATTAACCTTAATGTGGTGAGGTCCACTGGTGGCGCATACTGGTATGTTGGACGGTGGTATGTTGGACGGTGGTATCTTGGACTGTGGTATGTTGGTCGGTGGTATGTTGGACGGTGGTATGTTGGATGGTGGTATGTTGGTCGGTGGTATGTTGGACGGTGGTATGTTGGTCGGTGGTATGTTGGACGGTGGTATGTTGGACGGTGGTATGTTGGACGGTGGTATGTTGGTCGGTGGTATGTTGGACGGTGGTATGTTGGATGGTGGTATGTTGGTCGGTGGTATGTTGGACGGTGGTATGTTGGACAGTGGTATGTTGGACGGTGGTATGTTGGACGGTGGTATGTTGGACGGTGGTATGTTGGTCGGTGGTATGTTGGACGGTGGTATGTTGGATGGTGGTATGTTGGTCGGTGGTATGTTGGACGGTGGTATGTTGGACGGTGGTATGTTGGTCGGTGGTATGTTGGTCGGTGGTATGTTGGTCGGTGGTATGTTGGACGGTGGTATGTTGGATGGTGGTATGATGGTCGGTGGTATGTTGGACGGTGGTATGTTGGACGGTGGTATGTTGGACGGTGGTATGTTGGATGGTGGTATGTTGGTCGGTGGTATGTTGGACGGTGGTATGTTGGACGGTGGTATGTTGGTCGGTGGTATGTTGGACAGTGGTATGTTGGACGGTGGTATGTTGGATGGTGGTATGTTGGTCGGTGGTATGTTGGACGGTGGTATGTTGGACGGTGGTATGTTGGACGGTGGTATGTTGGATGGTGGTATGTTGGTCGGTGGTATGTTGGACGGTGGTATGTTGGACGGTGGTATGTTGGTCGGTGGTATGTTGGTCGGTGGTATGTTGGTCGGTGGTATGTTGGACGGTGGTATGTTGGTCGGTGGTATGTTGGACGGTGGTATGTTGGACGGTGGTATGTTGGTCGGTGGTATGTTGGACGGTGGTATGTTGGATGGTGGTATGTTGGTCGGTGGTATGTTGGACGGTGGTATGTTAGATGGTGGTATGTTGGATGGTGGTATGTTGGTCGGTGGTATGTTGGTCGGTGGTATGTTGGACGGTGGTATGTTGGACGGTGGTATGTTGGTCGGTGGTATGTTGGTCGGTGGTATGTTGGTCGGTGGTATGTTGGTCGGTGGTATGTTGGACAGTGGAATGTTGGACGGTGGTATGTTGGACGGTGGTATGTTGGTCGGTGGTATGTTGGTCGGTGGTATGTTGGACGGTGGTATGTTGGACGGTGGTATGTTGGTCGGTGGTATGTTGGTCGGTGGTATGTTGGACAGTGGTATGTTGGACGGTGGTATGTTGGACGGTGGTATGTTGGTCGGTGGTATGTTGGTCGGTGGTATGTTGGTCGGTGGTATGTTGGACGGTGGTATGTTGGTCGGTGGTATGTTGGACGGTGGTATGTTGGACGGTGGTATGTTGGTCGGTGGTATGTTGGACGGTGGTATGTTGGATGGTGGTATGTTGGTCGGTGGTATGTTGGACGGTGGTATGTTGGACGGTGGTATGTTGGACGGTGGTATGTTGGACGGTGGTATGTTGGACGGTGGTATGTTGGACGGTGGTATGTTGGACTGTGGTATGTTGGTCGGTGGTATGTTGGACGGTGGTATGTTGGACGGTGGTATGTTGGACGGTAGTATGTTGGACGGTGGTATGTTGGACGGTGGTATGTTGGACGGTGGTACGTTGGTCGGTGGTATGTTGGACGGTGGTATGTTGGACGGTGGTATGTTGGACGGTGGTATGTTGGACGGTGGTATGTTGGACGGTGGTATGTTGGACGGTGGTATGTTGGTCGGTGGTATGTTGGTCGGTGGTATGTTGGATGGTGGTATGTTGGACGGTGGTACGTTGGTCGGTGGTATGTTGGACGGTGGTATGTTGGACGGTGGTATGTTGGATGGTGGTATCTTGGACGGTGGTACGTTGGTCGGTGGTATGTTGGACGGTGGTATGTTGGACGGTGGTATGTTGGACGGTGGTATGTTGGACGGTGGTATGTTGGTCGGTGGTATGTTGGACGGTGGTATGTTGGACGGTGGTATGTTGGACGGTGGTATGTTGGTCGGTGGTATGTTGGACGGTGGTATGTTGGTCCGTGGTATGTTGGTCGGTGGTATGTTGGTCGGTGGTATGTTGGACGGTGGTATGTTGGACGGTGGTATGTTGGACGGTGGTATGTTGGATGGTGCTATGTTGGACGGTGGTACGTTGGTCGGTGGTATGTTGGTCGGTGGTATGTTGGACGGTGGTATGTTGGACGGTGGTATGTTGGACGGTGGTATGTTGGACGGTGGTATGTTGGTCGGTGGTATGTTGGTCGGTGGTATGTTGGACGGTGGTATGTTGGTCGGTGGTATGTTGGACGGTGGTATGTTGGATGGTGGTATGTTGGACGGTGGTATGTTGGACGGTGGTATGTTGGTCGGTGGTATGTTGGTCGGTGGTATGTTGGACGGTGTGGGGAATTCTGGCTCCAGTATAATACTAATTAAATTTATAATTTTAAAAATGCAAAATAATGACTAATTCTAAGATAGCTCGAAGGACCAGAATGAGTAATTAAATGAGAAAATCAGTGGCTTATAGATCTATGATTATATGAATAAATTCTATTAATTAAGCGATGACTGTAAATTATATAATTCTAGAGGCAGCCTCCCATGACACATTTTGGGGGCGTATTCCATAAGATTAATCTATGTGGAACATATATTATGATATAATAATAATAAGTATAATATGCACTCTCATAGATAATGAGTAAAATATGTAATGCAAAAATACTACTGCAATGTGAAGATTAATAATGCATAAATGGCAGTATCAGATATATAGATATATGTATATGGACTCTGAATAATAAGGTACTATCTACAATGAAAACTGATTATATCTCAGCTGTGACAGAGGGACGTAGATGCAGTCCACCGTACGCCAGTCTGGAAACAGTTTGTGAGTTTCTATTATTAACCTTAATGTGGTGAGGTCCACTGGTGGCGCATACTGGTATGTTGGACGGTGGTATGTTGGACGGTGGTATGTTGGTCGGTGGTATGTTGGACGGTGGTATGTTGGACGGTGGTATGTTGGACGGTGGTGTGTTGGACGGTGGTATGTTGGACGGTGGTATGTTGGACGGTGGCATGTTGGACGGTGGTATGTTGGACAGTGGTGTGTTGGACGGTGGTATGTTGGACGGTGGCATGTTGGACGGTGGTATGTTGGACGGTGGTATGTTGGACGGTGGTATGTTGGACGGTGGTATGTTGGACGGTGGTGTGTTGGACGGTGGTATGTTGGACGGTGGCATGTTGGACGGTGGTATGTTGGACGGTGGTATGTTGGACGGTGGCATGTTGGACGGTGGTATGTTGGACGGTGGTATGTTGGACGGTGGTATGTTGGTCGGTGGTATGTTGGACGGTGGTGTGTTGTGAGGAGGGTTAAGTGCGTGGTAGTACACTCAAGGTGTCATATCAGCCAACATAATGAGTGCAGAGTGTTGGGTGACGACCCATGATGAGTGACGACCCATGATGAGTGACGACCCATGATGAGTGACGACCCATGATGAGTGACGACCCATGATGAATGACGACCCATGATGAGTGACGACCCATGATGAGTGACGACCCATGATGAGTGACGACCCATGATGAGTGACGACCCATGATAAGTGACGACCCATGATGAGTGACGACCCATGATGAGTGACAAGGTACTCACGCTAAGTATTGCCAGCGGTTCGTTGTCATAAATGTTGAGGCATTTACATTTATAATTCCATCAGGAACGCTAAAATAATTTGTCTAGCTTATAATGTAATGCAATATAACTCATGTCAATACAATTCTCTCAATTCCAATTATAAGTATTTAGCGTATAATACGATTAATAATTTATAATTATTATTGAGCATATATATGATAAAAAAACCCACACCCGTTATGAACTGTGCATCTTGAGCGAGGCTCGTGCTCCCGTCACAGTTAATCACACTCACATTAGACTGTCAAACGTCATTAATATCTAGGACACCAGTTTACTGTGTGGTAGGGACACGAAGACTATGTCACAAGGAATAATGACACACTGCACACTTAATCACTTAATTATGGGCTCATGACCTCTGACACAGTGTAAAAAAAGGAGAATGCCTTAGCAATTAAATAACATGTATTACCAGACATATAACAATACTCGGGCACAATAACACATCACACGGTACTTCAGAACACGTCCAGTCACTCCCCTAGCACCCAGCCTGTAACAGTCACTCCCCCAGCACCCAACCTGCAACAGTCACTCCCCCAGCACCCAGCCTGCAACAGTCACTCCCCCAGCACCCAGCCTGCAACAGTCACTCCCCCAGCACCCAGCCTGCAACAGTCACTCCCCCAGCACCCAGCCTGTAACAGTCACTCCCCCAGCACCCAGCCTGTAACAGTCACTCCCCCCGCCTGCAACAGCCTGCAACAGTCACTCCCCCAGCACCCAGCCTGCAACAGTCACTCCCCCAGCACCCAGCCTGCAACAGTCACTCCCCCAGCACCCAGCCTGCAACAGTCACTCCCCCAGCACCCAGCCTGTAACAGTCACTCCCCCAGCACCCAGCCTGTAACATTCACTCCCCCAGCCTGTAACAGTCACCCCCCCAGCACCCAACCTGCAACAGTCACTCCCCCAGCACCCAGCCTGCAACAGTCACTCCCCCAGCACCCAGCCTACAACAGTCACTACCCCAGCACCCAGCCTGGAACAGTCACTCCCCCAGCCGGTAACAGTCACCCCCCCAGCACCCAGCCTGCAACAGTCACTCCCCCAGCACCCAGCCTCCAACAGTCACTCCCCCAGCACCCAGCCTGCAACAGCCTGCAACAGTCGCTCCCCAGCCTGCAACAGCCTGCAACAGTCACTCCCCAGCCTGCAACAGCCTGCAACAGTCGCTCCCCAGTCTGCAACAGCCTGCAACAGTCACTCCCCAGCACCCAGCCTGCAACAGTCACTCCCCCAGCACCCAGTCTGCAACAGTCACTCCCCCAGCACCCAGCCTGCAACAGTCACTCCCCCAGCACCCAGCCTTCAACAGTCACTCCCCCAGCACCCAACCTGCAACAGTCACTCCCCCAGCACCCAGCCTGCAACAGTCACTCCCCCAGCACCCAGTCTGCAACAGTCACTCCCCCAGCACCCAACCTGCAACAGTCACTCCCCCAGCACCCAGCCTGCAACAGTCACTCCCCCAGCACCCATCCTGCAACAGTTACTCCCCCAGCACCCAGCCTGGAACAGTCACTCCCCCAGCCTGTAACAGTCACCCCCCCAGCACCCAGCCTGCAACAGTCACTCCCCCAGCACCCAGCCTCCAACAGTCACTCCCCCAGCACCCAGCCTGCAACAGCCTGCAACAGTCGCTCCCCAGCCTGCAACAGCCTGCAACAGTCACTCCCCAGCCTGCAACAGCCTGCAACAGTCGCTCCCCAGTCTGCAACAGCCTGCAACAGTCACTCCCCAGAACCCAGCTTGCAACAGTCACTCCCCCAGCACCCAGCCTGCAACAGTCGCTCCCCCAGCACCCAACCTGCAACAGTCACTCCCCCAGCACCCAACCTGCAACAGTCACTCCCCCAGCACCCAGCCTGCAACAGTCACTCCCCCAGCACCCAGTCTGCAACAGTCACTCCCCCAGCACCCAACCTGCAACAGTCACTCCCCCAGCACCCAGCCTGCAACAGTCACTCCCCCAGCACCCATCCTGCAACAGTTACTCCCCCAGCACCCAGCCTGGAACAGTCACTCCCCCAGCCTGTAACAGTCACCCCCCCAGCACCCAGCCTGCAACAGTCACTCCCCCAGCACCCAGCCTCCAACAGTCACTCCCCCAGCACCCAGCCTGCAACAGCCTGCAACAGTCGCTCCCCAGCCTGCAACAGCCTGCAACAGTCACTCCCCAGCCTGCAACAGTCGCTCCCCAGTCTGCAACAGCCTGCAACAGTCACTCCCCAGAACCCAGCTTGCAACAGTCACTCCCCCAGCACCCAGCCTGCAACAGTCGCTCCCCCAGCACCCAGCCTGCAACAGTCGCTCCCCCAGCACCCAGCCTGCAACAGTCACTCCCCCAGCACCCAGCCTGCAACAGTCGCTCCCCCAGCACCCAGCCTGCAACAGTCGCTCCCCCAGCACCCAGCCTGCAACAGTCACTCCCCCAGCACCCAGCCTGCAACAGTCGCTCTCCCAGCACCCAGCCTGCAACAGTCGCTCCCCCAGCCTGCAACAGCCTGCAACAGTCACTCCCCAGCACCCAGCCTGCAACAGCTTCTCCCCCAGCACCCAGCCTGCAACATTCGCTCCCCCAGCCTGCAACAGCCTGCAACAGTCACTCCCCCAGCACCCAGCCTGCAACAGTCACTCCCCCAGCACCCAGTCTGCAACAGTCACTCCCCCAGCACCCAGCCTGCAACAGTCACTCCCCCAGCACCCAGTCTTCAACAGTCACTCCCCCAGCACCCAGTCTGCAACAGTCACTCCCCCAGCACCCAACCTGCAACAGTCACTCCTCCAGCACCCAGCCTGCAACAGTCACTCCCCCAGCACCCAGTCTGCAACAGTCACTCCCCCAGCACCCAACCTGCAACAGTCACTCCCCCAGCACCCAGCCTGCAACAGTCACTCCCCCAGCACCCAGCCTGCAAAAGTCACTCCCCCAGCACCCAGCCTGGAACAGTCACTCCCCCAGCCTGTAACAGTCACCCCCCCAGCACCCATCCAACAACAGCTACTCCCCCAGCACCCAGCCTGTAACAGTCACCCCCCCCCCAGCACCCATCCTGCAACAGTCACTCCCCCAGCACCCAGCCTGCAACAGTCACTCCCCCAGCCTGCAACAGTCACCCCCCCAGCACCCAGCCTGCAACAGTCACCCCCCCAGCACCCAGCCTGCAACAGTCACTCCCCCAGCACCCAGCCTGCAACAGTCACTCCCCCCCCACCACCCAGCCTGCAACAGTCACTCCCCCAGCACCCAGCCTGCAACAGTCACTCCCCCAGCACCCAGCCTGCAACAGTCACTCCCCCAGCACCCAGCCTGCAACAGTCACTCCCCCAGCACCTAGCCTGCAACAGTCACTCCCCCAGCACCCAGCCTGCAACAGTCACTCCCCCAGCACCCAGCCTGCAACAGTCACTCCCCCAGCACCCAGCCTGCAACAGTCACCCCCCCAGCACCCAGCCTGCAACAGTCACTCCCCCAGCACAGACAGACTCCCCGGCCCCCAGGCTCACTATCACCAAACATAACTAACTAACCACACTTCCATACTGAGATAATCACTCTCAAACACTTCTAAACACGAGTGTGTAATATCTTATACATCCTGGAGTAACCACTCAAATAGGCTTCTCAAAACGAAAACACTAATTAATGTATTACACTACAACACAGGTAAGAGTGACGCCCACACCAACACACCTGTAATTGTACGGTCTAATACGGCACCCATCGTACCGCCCAGCACCACTGACTACTCTCATACAATAGAATACAATACTGCAGTACTGCATGCACTGTCAAAACTGTTATACACGCAACAAAATTAATATAATATAGCACTTATGCACTGAAACAGTAATATTGGAAACGTATAGTCCATAGTAAAATAAGGTGTGATGAATGTATAATGCTTCATACATTATAATAGGAATGAGGCACATACTTGGTTCGTGACAACATGAATGGGGCACATACTTGGTTCGTGACAACATGAATGGGGCACATACTTGGTTCGTGACAACATGAATGAGGCACATACTTGGTTCGTGACAACATGAATGGGGCACATACTTGGTTCGTGACAACATGAATGAAGCACATACTTGGTTCGTGACAACATGAATGAGGCACATACTTGGTTCGTGACAACATGAATGAGGCACATACTTGGTTCGTGACAACATGAATGAGGCACATACTTGGTTCGTGACAACATGAATGAGGCACATACTTGGTTCGTGACAACATGAATGGGGCACATACTTGGTTCGTGACAACATGAATGAAGCACATACTTGGTTCGTGACAACATGAATGGGGCACATACTTGGTTCGTGACAACATGAATGGGGCACATACTTGGTTCGTGACAACATGAATGAGGCACATACTTGGTTCGTGACAACATGAATGGGGCACATACTTGGTTCGTGACAACATGAATGAGGCACATACTTGGTTCGTGACAACATGAATGAGGCACATACTTGGTTCGTGACAACATGAATGGGGCACATACTTGGTTCGTGACAACATGAATGAGGCACATACTTGGTTCGTGACAACATGAATGGGGCACATACTTGGTTCGTGACAACATGAATGAGGCACATACTTGGTTCGTGACAACATGAAGGGACAAATGTGGAGAACAACTCTCGGAACATTACTCACGGGATGTACACGAGAGGCAGACACATACACCAGTACACGAGAGGCAGACACATACACCAGTCCACGAGAGGCCGACACATACACCAGTACACGAGAGGCAGACACATACACCAGTACACGAGAGGCAGACACATACACCAGTCCACGAGAGGCCGACACATACACCAGTCCACGAGAGGCCGACACATACACCAGTACACGAGAGGCCGACACATACACCAGTACACGAGAGGCAGACACATACA